TATTTCTCTTTTTTTCCTGTTCATTACCCTCCACATGAGAACAAGTGAATATGATTCCTTATACAACCATATCCCCATAATTCCACCCACAGCCAGCATGAAGGTCAGTTTCAAGCACCAGTTCTCATTCTGTACAAAAGTATCTGAAAAGTTTTGAAAAGTCTTTCTTTCTCTGTCTAACTTCTTTTTTTTTCTTGATTTTTTTAAAAAATTTTTAAAGTGTGCTTTTTGATCTGGGTCAGTATTTACACTATGTGACTATACGTCAATGTAGAGGTTCTCACAAGCCAACTGACCATTTGCAAAATTCTGACAAGTCATACCTCCCTTTGTTACTGTTGCTAAAACTCTCAAACTCTCAGCTCAGGCTAACAGACTAAAAACCTCTGGAGCACAAAAAGGAAAATGCAGAATCTCATAGAGGAGTAACTTAAAAACATTATTCATTATTATTCAAAAATAAACCGGCTTCACAATTTGTTCAGTGCAGGCCAATGTAAAGCAAATAAAGCATCCTGGAAACCACATTAACAATTACTTAAATCAGGGAAATCTTTTAGCGACTGGGTATTAAAGCAGAGGTGTGAGAGACAGAAGTTGCCCCTTTAAGTGAGCTAATGGTAAAATTAAGCAGCTAAGTTACAAAAAAACAAATCTAACTAGCTAATCTTAACATTGTTCTGTAACATTAGATATAATCAGAAATCACTTTAAAATACAGTAACTAAGGGAAAGTTTAGCTTACCTTGAAGTCAGCATAAGTCTGACAGTTAATCATTTTGACACTGAACTCTCAGGGTGTTCCTCAATGTAGTTTAATCCAAAACAGATTCAGGAATGAAATAGAAACAGCATATAGCTGAATAACAAGCTCTACAATAACACTTTTGCACCTCTCTTAGTATTTCTGACTAATTTACTGCCAACGTCATTCTTACTAGTCAATTTTTAGGTGTTTTGTCTGAGTTTTTCCTTCGCTTGATGGAGGAAGTAGCACTGAAGGATGACTGTAACTGGCTGAGAGGTGTGTCAATCATTCTTTTGCAAATGGTCAATTAAATGACAGAATCATGTGCAAAGTAATGTCATGTGACATCTGACCTTTAAAAGACCACAGGAGTAGACACTGGATCATATAGAGTACCTCTGTTAGTGTGTATACCTGATGCATGAAACGTGCTATTGCTACCTCCTGTCTGTCACACTGCTCAAGAAGTCTTGCCATTAATTGCTGGTTACTGAGTTATTGTGTGCAGTTAAAAGGCCAGGTGGAAACTCCATCATCACAACACATTCTATAAATACTAACTATATCTGAGTGAGTGTGAGTGAGTGTAAATGTGTGTGTGTGTGTGTGTGTGTGTGTGTGTGTGGGTGTGTGTGTGTGTGTGTGTGTGTGTGTGTGTGTGTGTGTGTGTTAGCAATGGGGTGAGAGAGAGGCGGGGAGGGAGAGAGAGAGAGAGAAAGAGAGAGAGAGAGAGAGAGAGAGAAAGAAAGAGAGAGAGAGTTAACATCTGAGCCAAACACCTGGTTTTTACAGTGGTACACTTTAAATCCAACCTTACTCGGCACCATAAAGATAAGTCAGCCTATACCAATAAAGAAATAATGAATTTCCACTCCTCCTACTAATAACAGACTCACATATGAAAAGTAACATATGAAAAACAACTTAATATTAACAGCTCTGACCAGCATATTAGAATCATTACATACATATACATACAACCAAGTTGTTTTATGGATTTGAAAACATTACAAACGTCCGAAGAGTTATTCTAAACTAATCTGAACAGCAGTGAATGATGAGTGATTGAAGAAATATGCAAAGAAAGAAAGAAGCAAAAAAAGAAAGAAGGAAAGAAAAAAGAAAGAAAGACAGAGCGAGAAAGAAAGGTTGTCTAAAGCTGCCGCAGGGCTGGCATTAGCCCTGTATTTTAGTGGCTCCCCTGGGCAACATTAAGTCAGAGCCGAATTCCGTCGCGCCATCTTTTACAGGGCTCTAATGATTAGGGAGAACAGCGCGCTGACGGCACACTAAGCGAGCTATTACACTAACTAAATTAGCAAGCGGCAGGCGGCTTATATGACCAGCTGCCCCCTTGACTCATACACACATACACACACACACGCACACAGCTCAAAGCCTCTTGCTCCAGAGAGTAGCTGCATCCCAGAGGTGCCTTACTGTTTACATACCACTTCACTGGGCCCATGTAGAGAAGTAGCAGAAGAGGGGAGGTGGGAACAAGGGAGGATGGAAGTATTTTGCCATGGATAAGTTCTTATGTGTGCCGAGTGGGACAAAAGACAAAAAGATCATAGCAGGTGGGAAACAGCTTTATATACGCATATAAGAGACACAAGAGTAGGTGGACGTTTGAATGCTAAGGCAGTGGCGACACACTGGGACCTGATTATCGAATAAATTATCGCATATTCATTACCACCTGTGGTGCCGTTAAATATTGGTGATACACACCAATATTTAACGGCATGCTTTATACACACAAACAGATACCTCTGACATGAGGAAACTACTTACTTTTGTTAAACGTAAACCAAAAGTCACAGGCTCACCGGCCTGACAATACAGCAAGACAGGCTAAACTGGTCCGTTAAAACTCAAAACACCAAAAAAAATTATATGTAAGGAAATTGTGAAAAATAAGAAACACAAGAGGTAATTAACAGAAACTAACAAAATTGATGAGAACTCTGAGAAGCTCTGCCCAACCCTACACTACAATATTTATATCTATATAACTTTCAGTTACTGCTATTTGAGTTGTAACATTTGAAATGTAACAAATGAAAACTGATGATCACACTTGATTACTTACATCTGATGATAACCATATTAGATGGTAACGTACTTTATTTTTAAACTAAAACTACTGATTTTTGATTATATTAAATTATACTGGCTGATATTATCAGAATTTTCTAGTGGTCTGGCCCTAAGCACACAAACCCAGACATACAGCAGTGATTAATTTAAAAAGAAAAAAAAAAAAAAACAGTTTGTACCTTTGTGCTGTGCCAGGAGGTGCCTGTCATTTGCAGACTACAGACTCTGCTACTCCAAACAGCCTGTTATTAAACCCGGCTCTGTCACTGATCTAACAAGGCTTATCTAAGATTTACCAATAGAAGAAAACTCTTCACCATCAGTGGGAACAGAAAATGTTTATGTAATTGAAGAAACCATAAGTATGACTTGAGTAATGTGCTTAACTCCTCTTCAAACAGGTGAGAAAAGGAGAGAGAGGGAGAGAGAGAGAGAGAGAGAGAAAGAGAGAGAGAGAGAGAGAAAGAGAAAGAGAGGGTGATGTGGGGAGAGAAAAAAACAGAGAGAGAGGGTGAGGGGGAGTCAAAAGGAAAGAGAGGGTCAGGGAGAGAGTGAGAGGGTGGGTGAGAGAAAGTCTGTATTTGAGGATCTACGTTTGTGATGAATTGCAAAAGGAGGATTTATTTTCTGTGAGAGTATACAGTTCTGCTGTGGCATCGGCCACTGGGCTTGCATCAGGGTCACACTGAACATGCATGAAATCATTTCTCTATTCATGAAAATTTACTGTGATGTGTTACAGATGGGTAGTTAGTGTGTATATGTGTGTGTGTGTGTGTGTGTGTGTATGGGGTATGGGGGAATGCGACAAAATCGAAAGAGTATAAGAAAAAGAAATTTCTGAATATGCCAAAAATCCTTACAAAGAGTTGCTTAGGTAAATAAAAAGATGAAAAACTACAAACAGAAACAGAAAGTAAAACAGAAAGAGCACAGAGAAAGGGATGCTTTCCAGACACGAATAATGCAAAGAGTTATAGCAGCTAAACAGTACAGGCATATGGACAAAAACCAAGTCTTTGCCTAGAGCTTACCAAGAGAGCTGACACAGAGACAGAGAGAGCCAAATTGACAAATTGAGTGTGTCTCAATTTCTTACAATAACCTTCATCAACAAGCCACACACTGCACTCAAGCTGCAAAAACAAAACATTTACAGATACTTTCAGCTCCCTGAAACAGACTGAGTGAGCAGAAAACATGTTTTCAGATGGTTGTTGTTCTGCAGCCAACAAATACTAGTTTTTGGAGCTGGACGTAGAGTTTATGTATGCAGATATGCAGCATAGTGTAGAAAAGAAGTACACCTATTCTGTAAAGAACTTATCAGATCAGTTAGTTTCAAATGCAGTGCATCCGCCTAGATGTGTATGTCACGTTCTAAATGGATTATTTCTTTTTTTGTTCAGACACTGCCATAATAGATGTGGAATTTAGTAAAGTTTCATAATAAAAGCACTGTCAGTGCATGCCTGCACATACCGGTTTGGCCAGTTCACAACGCAACTGAAACAACAGGACCAGCTTTGCAAGTGAGTTTCTGTACTTCTGCGTTGTGTGCTGAGCAGTTGGTTGCTTTCATTAGCCCCAGGGTCATTTCTGAACATTTGGGGGCCCCAAGCAACATCCTACTTTGGGGCTCCCATCCAGCTCAATCTGGTGTTATTTGTTATGCAAGAATGAAGAAGTAGGTAAGTAGGTAAGGTATTAATATTCATCAGGATGAAATGCAAAAGACAGAATAAGAGTTTCATATCACGAAGAACGATATTATACAAAACGCTTCCGAGCCTCGTAGCTCTGGGACTGTAAGCGAATACTTATGTCGCTTATAGGAAGAAACGGCCCTATCAACTCGCTAATAAAGCCCTATTGTTCAGAGGGTCGCGAAAGGAGTTCTTTTTTGTTTCCCCACCTGTTTTGGGACAGCCCCTACCTTGCTGCGCTTCGATTGGTTGCTAGTATCCCGCTTCCAGCGCAGGGATTTGTTAGTGGTTCATATTCACACGCATTCCGCCGCGCACGAGCTAAGCGTGGCTGACCGCTCGTATATCAGCCTATCCCAGCGCGGGAGGGCGTGGCTTGGCGCAGTACGGGTGTTACAACAAAAAAGGTAACGCGTTGGAGACGCACAAGCCAAGCACTCGAGGCAGTGAATCGTACGTGGACGCTTCCACACACACACACACACAAAATGTACTAGTTTTAAACGCAACACTCCGCAAGGAGCGCCCGAAGGATTTTCCTCTACTGGATATAACCCGTGGATGAAAAAGAGAGAACACGACTTCGAAGTTCCGTTCATCTCCAACAGACTTCATTAAATGCGCTCGGTGAGTTGGGTTAGTTTACTTTACAACAAGAAAAGGTGATTTAACATGACATGCCGAGGACTTGTTGTAGCCGTTTTAGCTTCTTGAACCTTATTCGTAAGAAGGTCAACAGGCTACAGAAACATGCAGGCAAACATGCAACAGGGTACTAAGCAGCATGAAACGAGGTAAGAAATAGAAAATCAGATTTTTTGGCATCTGTGCGCCTACTGTAGAACATCCTGTCACCATTTCTGCTACACCTCAGAATCAGTGAAACATAGAACACATTACTGAATTCGTTGGAAGATTATCTTGAGTAATCGCATGTAAAACGTTTAAGATATTTGAAACGAACACAAGTAGCCGGGCAGCCTGGGTTTCATGTATTTGGAGCTGGTGTAGTAGTCCAGCCTGCGTAAGACTGCTGAAATTACGGGGAGCGAAATGAAAAGCTCTGCTATGTGATAGTCTAAAACTTTTTTGAACTGAAATTATAAATCCGAGTTTTTTTTTTTTACTCAAGCCACCCCTGATCGAGTGTTTTTGTTTCCACCGGGTTAGACCCATAGCAAACTTCGAGAGTGTACAGGTTCAGCAAAGAGCTTTCCTTTGAGCTGCTCAAAGGCAGTGTGGTGGCTTAGAAGCAAATCTGTTCAGTCACACGGAGCGTAAAGGAGATTAACCATTCTCATTTCGGGGTTAAAGATCTTTTAGGGTTTGTTAGAGTCGAACTTGAGGTGCAGTAGAATCATCAGTTAACTGCCTTTCAAACAGAATAAGGCTGATCTCCTCACACAGTTCGTGTTTTGTGAAATCCCATTGGCTTCTTTTGTAATAACGGAGGGAAAACAGATAACGATAGTGACTTATAAAATCCATTGTTACTCCCCTATATTTGCAGTATACCTTTTATTGTGAAGTCAGGTGTCTTTCCTTTCCCTTTTTAAAGTTTGTAACTGAATCCTACATTAAAGTTTATTGCATTAAGTGTCAGCGTATATTGCCTGCTGAGGTTTTAAAGCATACATTCATTCATTTTCTATAGTTTGTACATTAAAAAGCTTTGGTTGGAATGGGCTCTGGAATATGGGAACATACTTGAATACAATACTTAAATCTATGTGTTAGTTAATATGGGACAACTGTATGATAACGCCATGCTTTAATTCCATTTCCCACTAAAAATATATATCTTAACTTCAATTCGCTGGTTTATGGTATTTCATTCGGATCGCTAAAAACTAATTCAGTAGTAAGTTGTAGCTGAAAGTGTAATAATAACAGTTTTCTCAAAGCATTTACAATTACCTCATGGTCCATCATACCTGCATCTGTCCTATAATAAAAGTTATTTTATAGACGGCCAGGATGAATTTTTCAACAAGCTGTCTTTGTGTTTGTATTATGGAGTTCTTATACTAATAAATGCTGTTGAAGAGTTATGAAATATTTGGAGTTCATGAAAAGGAGTCAGGATAGAAAGGGAGATGCCAAGAGGGGAGAAAATGAAGGGAGAACATTAATGCGTCTGACTGAGAGGTGGGATTAAATAGCTGGGAAGTAGTTGAGTGCATGCTTGGAGTAACACAAGTGAGTACTTCTATGTTCTATCTCTTGTGGAGTATACGCATGATCTGGAAAGGGAATTACTAAGATACACTCCAAACATTAACCTTAAGTTCTCCACCCTAGACTCTGATATGACCCTTCATGTGAAGGTCACAGCTTAAGTCAATGCCACAAGAAAAAATAAAAATAAATAAAATCACGGTTATTCTACTCATATGCACTTTAATCTCCACAGGACATACATCACACAGCCATGACTACTGACATATAGGACAACATTTGAAAATAATGAGTGCTACACTACTGCCAGAATTATTATTTCCAAACCACTTTTGGTCAAAGAGATAAAAAGGAGTGACAAAGAACTGTCTGAGCAAAGCATGTGGCAAACAAAGCCTCACTGCCAGTTTTCCCTGCAGTTCATGTAAGGAAGAATAACATCCCCCTGGTTTTCCCCCCACTGCCCTGTCCAAGCACCATCACTCCAGCAGAAAAAAACAGAACAGGACAGTGGGTTTATTCTAAACAGACTGTTCAAACATACACACATACCCAGAAAGACGCTGCCAAGGAAACAGGATGTTCTTAAAAGGCTGCGTTGCAGACTTATGCCCATGTCTACCTGACACCTAAAGAGTAGCTGTGAAATGCTTGCCTTCAGACAGTGTATCTCTGCTCTCAATCTCTTAAAATGATTCTTTGTGTTCTTTTTTGCTTCTGTCTAATTGACTTGACACACAGGACAAAGCCAAAGCAAGCTTTGCCACTTCAGCAAAAAATGAAGACTAGACCTTTCTGCAAGGAGAAACGAGTAAAATCATCAGAATAAACAAGGGAGAACATGCACAGGTCACAGTTTCAATGAGTACTTTTGTTAAACATAAGACAGCAAATCAGTATAAGCCATGGTTAATAATTTTGTGGTGAAATTAAAAGCTTTTTATATGAGAGCTCGCTAATAGCGATCAGGTGCTTCTCCAGGTGTCCAGCCCTCACTGTCCCGTCCCTCTACTTTTCTGGGAGGTGCACTTAAAAAAGCCCTCAGGCTTCAAAGGCCCATAAAGCCATGCTGACCAAGCAATGTGTGCACGCAAACCCAAGTATGATCCCTGCCAAACCAAATTGAAGAAGAGCTTGATATATGGGGCCAAATGATGCATTTAGAAAAACCACTTCAAAAAGCCTGCGTAAATGCACACACGCGCACACATATGCATAGCCACAAGCTCTTCAGCTGCAAGACAAACCCCAAATAATGTCCCACTCGCCTTCTTTAGTCTCCAACAGACATGCTTTAAGTCTTCCATCAGCCATTTGCCTGCACTCTTTCTCTCCCTCCTCGACCCCCCACTCCCCCAGAACCCTATGAATATGACAAAAATCAGAAAAATGCCAGGCCACTTACCAATTTCCCGCTAGATGAGAGAGAGAGAGAGAGAGAGAGAGAGAGAGAGAGAGAGAGAGAGAGAGAGAGAGAGAGAGAAACACAAGGAGAGGGAGTGTGCACATCCCTGAAAACCACCACAAATTGCAGCATTTCAGCCAAGCAGTAAAAAAAAGAAAAACGACTTTTAATCTAAAGATTGTAATTACCTCCTGACTGAACTGTAATTGGGGAAATGAGGCCTGAACCAGAGAAGGCAGAGAGCAGCTCCAGAGCAAATACGCAGCCACACAAAGACACACTCATAGCTGTGTTTGACCACAGCCTTGAACTCCACACAAGGTCAAATGCTTAACTGGCTACTGTTAATGACTAATACAAATTCAAACAAGTCAGTAAAAGAAACTTTTTAACTTCACTCAAAAACTCATTAGGTGATAAGCAGAAAGTGAGGGCTACCTGAACTTAATGTGGTATACTAGATTTGGATGCAACCAGGAAGCAGACAGACTGTACGGTTGTTGGTCATGATTAAGCACGGGCCAGCATAGACGACTTCACTGACTGCAAGCAAGAAAAACTACATACCCATACATACCCACACAACCATAGTCACAAATATGACCACATATGCTATGTTCAGACTATAAACCAAATTTGTGGGTTGATGATATTATTCTGTGTTCAGGGTTGCTGGGTCTAATTCAATGAAGGCTAGTGACACTGATATGTCACACAGTGGAACATGTGGAGTGTGTGTGTGTGCCCTATTCTCACTTGGCCAGACATGATTGTAATGAGAATACACATCTAGGGAAAACTTGTTAAGCTTTTGGTGCTTCTGGTGAAATGCACTGCTTGCAAGTTTAGTTTTCCTCTAAAACCCATCACCGAATTCTTCTAACCTGTGCTCTTTTAACATCCAGAGTACAACCAATGACAAAAGCAAAAAAGCTTGCTAATGAAATGCTAACGACCGACTGATATTCGCTCTCATTCTCCTAGCTTTGTGTGGCACAATCCGCAGGGTGGTTTCGTGAGCTGTGTGGGTCTTTCATTTGGACATCTTGTCAGCAGATGAGTGCTGGCCATTAAAGAGTGAAACGACCTCAAACCTAGCACTAGATTCAACATGGCTGGCACTCTGACACTGATATAGGACCAGCTTCCCACAGAGAGAAGAAAAAAGAGAGAACTAAGGCAAGTACAAGAGAGGACTCTACTTTCGGATACTATAAGTAGCCTATATATGTGTCAATTCAAAAGTAGACACTTGGTGTAGGTGGTCTTTACAAGTATCGTACACACTCGATTTTAGCATAAGAGGTGTGGGAAATATCTTGGGTTGTGCTGTACTAGATGACAGGCATCAACCTGTTCCCTGTCCTTTCAAACATTCTTTGAGATAGAACTGATTGTGACAGCAGTAATGATGTGATGTATATATTTGTGGTGGTGGGGGGGGTGGCATCTGTAGCTTTCCACTAGGACTGTAGTAGGTAGTATAACCTAATGAAAGAGAGTTAACTGGACTACTGGTTTGCTCCAGATCTTCATTTTGCTAGGGGGCAAATTGTGTAAGAAAAAGTATGGACAAACAGCTTTTTTTGCAGAGCTCTAACTTGTTTTCCTTTTTTAAATGGAATTTTAGGCTGCCAAACTGTCCTAAATATTTTAAATACAAAACTTAAATTACAGACGCAGTGCATTATTGAACGCAATTGATACAGACTGCCAGAATTTCTTTTTTGTGCCTTTTGTATAGGGGTGCACAAAGGACAATATTTTGTTATCAGTATTTATCGTTATCATATATTATGTCGCAATACACTTATTTTATGGATATTGTCAGTACTTAAAGAACATTGCCCAACTGTATATTTTATTACAGAAAGAGCATAACAGTTGAGTTTAACTAGATTTAGTGCAGCACAGTAAAAGAAATAGGGATGCACAATAATATTAGAATCAGCAGATAATTGCTTACAAAAAATACCACCTTCCAACAGACATTTAGATTTGACTGATATTTTAATTTTATGTGGCTTTTTATTTATGTATATTTCTTGCCAAGGCAAATCCATGTGGATGCAGTCCCAATTTCCCAATCAGCAGATATGTACATTAAAAATATCTGTGTATGTCTTCTTACCCTAATGTGAAATGAACTGAATAAAGATCATTGTACTAATTGTGCTGATGTACTGTGTACTGTTTAAACTGGCAATACTCTTTCTTTTCCAACTTATCAAACCTCTGAAAAATTTCATATCATCACATATATGGTGTATCATGAAAATGTCATATTTTTGCCATATTGCCAACTGCAACTTTTGTTCTCTCATTAAATAGCTTCAAACAGATATGAGGATTTTGATGGTAACTGTCAAATATACAGTGACTGTGTCTTTTTATCTACATGCTGTTACCTTCTACTGACTGAAATGGTGATATGCATGATTATTCATAAAGATAGATGCACAAATACACACACTGTGTCAGAAACTGACAAGTGAATCAGACACTTACGCATCCCCCTCAAGCATGCAGCATGAGAATTTGACAGACACGCAAAACACACACACTCTTAACACCTCAGAGCCGATACTGTAAGACAAGGAGCTGACAGAGCAGAGAGTTGTCACCCTGCATTCCAACCTGAAGCTGTTCGTGTGCGTGCGTGTGGGCATGTGTGTGTGTGTATGTGTGTGCGTTCCAGAGAAACGCCTACAGCACAACTTGGTAGCAGTCTGTACACAATTCTCTGGAATCTCTCTCTTTTTTTTTGCTCTTACCACACATTTACATGCAAACCCTTTAAAAGAGAGCACACATCTGTCCTGTGAATGACAGGCTTCATTTTACTGTCAAAACGGCTGCTGCTACCACCAATCTGCTCTGCTAGTCCCCTACAGAAAATTCAAATCAACACTGTACACATGTATGTATAATGAACAGAAATGTTTTGCACTGTAATTGCATTCTTGCATATTTTCATGTCACTGTGTCACACACATACTCCTACTGCAAATTAAAGACATTCAGGCCGCTCTCTAATTAACCACTCCTCTTTCTCTTCCAGGAGCAAAGAAGGTCATACAGAAAGACAGAAGGTGTCCAAGAAAACCAGTGAGGAGAAGGAGAGAGAGGAAAAAAGGAGGAGAGGGAGTGTCTTGTAACACACTGGTGAGTTAGTACTCATGTTGGTTATCTGCTGGTTAACTAGATAGTGAGCATCCACTTACCCAACTGCCATTACATGAGCAGTACTGAATCCTCTGCTGAGTCAAAACTATTAAATTCAGTTAGGACTAGTCTGCACTGCGAGAGTCATATTACATTTTTTTTAAACAATTTAGAAAGAAATCTTTACAATGATTTTGCATTAAAACTTACAGCGAGGCCCAAAAGTTTGAGACCACATTGAAATGTGGGATTTTTTTTCACTTAAACCTGAAAATAAAAATAGAACAGACAAAAGTTATCAACCTTAGACAAAAAAAGGTTAAATAAAAAGGATATATTTGCATTGCAGACAAAGTGCCCCCTGGTTCCTATCACAATTGTACAGATATCAGAGTCATGAAGTTTCTCTATAGTGGACCATTTCATATAAAAACCACCCTGAATGGCTCTGTATACAACAATTGAACAACATAAAAAACAAAAAAATGAAACAAGTGGAATTCTCCTTGAAAGGTTAAAGGGGACACTGCCAAAATCTGAATGTATCACTGATGGTATATTAGGTAAAACAGGATTATTCCTGGCTGTACTTGTCCCTCTAAGGCCTTTGTGTGGCTCTGTGTGTCAAATCTGTAGCATTTATGCATGAGGGATTTTTTAGGGGCCTGGCCAGACATGCTGCTGGCCCTTGAGCACTTTGTGGTGGTCGAGATTGTGTGTATGTGTGTTGTCCACTACTGTAGTGCCTACGATCTTACAAGGGGCCATAAAGGATTCAGCTAAATGCTCCCTATTTATTCTCCTTTCCGCTGCTCTGGCAGGCAGCAGACCACGTCCTATGGCCAGAACACACACCATTATACTTACTAATTGTCTTATGACTCTTCCAACCTCTTAAACTCACACAAAAGGCAAGTAAGTTGAAAGAAAGCATGGATTATAGGCTGCATTCAGTGGCTGTCTCATTGTATGTGTGAATATGTGTAACTATAGACACACAGACGCACACACATATATATATGCACATTTATTATTTCTAAAGAATGCTGTTCTGCTCCAAACAGTAGTAAATTAATCTAGTTTTTTGTGTGTGACTTTTCTCTTTAACATTAAGCTTAGCATTTAATATAAAAGCTAGAGCAACTTTTGCTAAAATTCAGTGCTGACTACTAGAGCTAGGCCTTCAGTTAGGGCCATAAATGTCAAAACCTATTCCAAAAAAAAAAGAAAAAAAAACATCGATGATAATGCTGATTTCTGCTAGTACCCCTATGGGACTTGTAGTACTTCCTAGACTAAGGTAAAGGCGTTTCACATTTTTGGCCTTTCTAGACTGAATATGGACAATTTATGCACATTTGACGTTTTGAACTTTGTAGCAGTTTACAGTGACTCCATCAATAATGCCATTCCAACAAATAGGACATATCTAGGACTCGCAGAAACCTAAATTAAGGTTTTTCCTCCCAAAATAAGTCTTATCCACTGGAAATCACAATGTGTTTGGTTGATTCCACTGTCACTTTCTAATTATGATAGTTCATCTGACACATTAGGCTTTCAGTTCAGCTACTGAAGTCCTAAAAATGGGAGAGCTAACTGCTATATCTCCCTAGATCCTAGGAAAAAAATAAATCCTGACTGGATAATTTTACATTGAGCATTTCAAGAATTTAACAGTTACAGTTTTGTTTCCAACCAAAACTTAACAATGAAATGAGAATATTACAACAGTATTTGCAAAGTTAAATACAACAAGCATGATCATTGTAATAAATAAAAAACAAATAAAAATTTTGGGCATTTATTTTTTAATTCACAGTGATCATTTGGTCTTCTCTGAAGGCCTAGAAGGCCCTGAGGGTTCCCCACTGCTAAGATTACAATAAATAGTAACATCTTGCTCCTATTTGTTAGTATGCAGACTGCTTTCTAAGCATGACCTCATAGGTAGAGTCTGTTTTTGCATTAAAGTAAATTACACAAGCCTATTCGTAGATAAAGTGAATGCAACACTACTAAACACCTCCATCCAAAACTACACCACAGTGCTAAGATTTACTTAGGCTTTACAGCATCTTTTCATGCACTCAAACATACAGTTGTGCATTACTAGACATACAGGTGATACTCTGTTCTCTAGGAAAAGCTTGCTGGACAGCTCACTGCAGCCCAATGGAGTTTATTTGCTCTCATTTATCTTTTTTATGTGCTTTGAGTGTAAAAATGTCAGTGGGCTTGCCGGGTCAGCGCACTGATGACATGACAGTAGGACTAACTGATACAGCACATGTGGTCTCCATCCATGCCTGCGCACAGAAACAGAGAATTCTGAGCGGCTCCTAAAACCACAACAAGGGCCCATTTCTGAGTTCTGATGGCTGTATGGGCGTAAAGAGACTCATGGGATTGGCCCAAATTGAATTTGCCGTGCTGTTTAAAGTGGCAAGAGTACGTGTTAAGCACATGGTCAGAAAAACTGAGGAAGAGTGTATATAGTGCTTCCTGTGCTTCACAGTACTGGCTGTACGTCTTGTTGGTGACAGTGGCGTTTTAGGCGCCATAGAAAACTATACTTAAAAGCTATTTATCAGGGAAGTAAGCATTTATTGCTCATAAAAACACTAAATTAGAATAAATACAAGCACTATATACACAGAGTGTATATAGTGCTTCCTGTGCTTCACAGTACTGGCTGTACGTCTTGTTGGCGGCAGTGGCGTTTTAGGCGCCATAGAAAACTATACTTAAAAGCTATTTATCAGGGAAGTAAGCATTTATTTGCTCATAAAAACACTAAATTAGAATAAATACAAATTATGTTAATACAGTAAGTAGTGGCTTTCAGTACATTTAACCATTTCCAAACCTCCCCTCGAGGAAGTCCAGTATTATTTGTAGTCATTATCCTATACCTGGTTTGACTAAAAAACAATTGTTTATGATTAATCTGATGTGCTGGTGATTGAATTTAACAAATCTGTGTGATGACTGGAGGTGACAAAGAGAAATGTGGAATCAAACTTTACTACTTTTAACTAGCTCACAATACATTAACTACCTTTTTTATAAAACGTTACTCTTAGTATTTTTTTACTGTATTCATGTTTGTTTTCACTTATTGTAACGCTACATTGTGTTTTTACTGACAAAAATACACTTTCTGCCCAAACAAATTTTAAACAATATGCTTAGGTGTATAAGACTTTTGCACAGTACTGTATGTATGTCAAAAAATGTCTATGGTTAATTTTTGTCCTTTATGATATTTATGTTTACATTCATTAAGCAAACACCAGAGCGAATTACAAACTGTAAGTGATAACTTACTGCCATCCAAAGACCTCCCAGAGTATACCCTACAGGACACCTGAGAGGTGGTCCTAGTGTATAACTTGTTTGTTTTTTCTTAGTTGCTTTCTGCTGAGTTTCAATCAGGTGCAATAATGAGAGTGGCGATGTGTTACTATGCATTAGCTGACTGACAGGGCTTAGCACAGGCAGATGTGAACAGAAACGGACTCCACAGCTGGAAGCAGAATTAGTGCAAGAGCTGGGTGGCTGTGGGGACTTGGCTCATGACCAATTAGAAGCAAGTGGCCAAACAATGAACACTTAATAGCAGACAAACATAGGGTTATGTTGTTCTGTTTATCTTTCATGTGTGCATAACTGTGTGTGTGGGGGGGGTATGGAAAATGCCTCCTGGCTGTTTGACTTGAAGGATCATAAGTGGCAAAACATAGGAAGCCAGTAAAACAGGTATGCTACAAATGCTACACTAAACCACATAAAATAAAAAATAAGAATGAGGAAAGATGCAACAACTGTCAACAACTCATACCTGAAACTCTCAATTGGGACAATCACAAGTTTCTATTTCTACAGTAAGCTCTTTCAACATCCTATTTTGATCTCATGGTTTAAACATGCAAATTTCAGCTCATGGGTTACGTTGAACGTACAGAGTCTGATAACTTACAGAGAACATGTGTTGAAGAGTTCAAGAGTGATTGATAGAGTTGGGGCATCTAAGTTTCCAAAGGCTAGAGGAGAGACTGATGAGTTTGATGAGAGCCAGCACCACAGCCAAGTGAAGAACAATGGTCTTCATTCCACCAACTGTCACAGATCTGCTAAAAGGGCAGAAAGACTCTCCACAAGTAAAAAAGAGAATCAGCTCTTGTTGTCAACTGGAGGGACTTTATAGTGCTTATTAAAGGAATACCTTCACCGTAAAATCTTGTAAGGTTGTATCAGTTAGTATGGTCATATTTGCATAATGTAGCCCCTAAAAATGCTTAAAAGTGTTAGCCATCTTAGTGTTTTTGAGTGAAGCTTTTTTTTACATGGACATGTGTATAATTAAGCTGTCCTTCTTCTCCTTTTACCTTTAAACTTCTAATGTTTAGGGTTGGGTAATATAATGTTGTTCACAATATTATTTACAGTATGTTTTTAAATGTGATAGGATTTTGCCATATCACAATATTGTTACTTAACTACATAGGACTTGTGCTCATGATGCGTAACAATGATCAGTGCTGCAGAGAGTAATACCGCTGACACTGAGGACGAATTAGTTCCTAAATGAGGAGCTATGTCAGTAGTGTGGAAGGTCAGACTCAAAACAAACAAGTAATTTGCAAAACTTGGAAAAACAGTGTAACCACAAAAAGTGGTAACATATCTAATTTATTTCACCACGTAAAGCAAAGACACTGGCATGAGTACAATGAGTGCCAAAGACTGTGTGAGTCTCAAAGCACAGATGATCTGAAAACCGAAGGTGTCTCAAACCAACAAACCATAGCAAAGGTGGTTCGAATGAACAAACCAAACCAAATGTTCAAATGAATACTGAAACAGTCATGTTTTGGTTAGCCAAGGACATGATGCCTATTCAGACTGTGGAAAAGGAGGGAATGTTCCTTAAAGAGTTACATTTTTGCCATCAACTTCTGTGGTGGAATAAAACAGATGATATGTTTTTGGGGGAG